AATCGCTTTGAGGTCCTCTCCCCTAACATGGAAGACGAAGAGCAGACTCCATTTGAGGATCTCTCCCTCATTACAGTCGATCAGTTATATGAAGACGAGCAGCAAAGTCAGTCCTCAGGGAATGTGCAGGCGACCTTGGAACGGACAGCTCATGGAAGAACCCCGACCAGACCTAAGAGGAGGCGTGTAGTGGTGATAGGGGATTCCCTACTGAGGGGAACAGAAGCAGTGATCTGTGGGCCTGACAAGATGTCTCGGGAAGTGTGCTGTCTCCCCGGGGCTAAGATCCAAGATGTAACTGAACGACTGCAAGGAATCATAAAACCCACTGACAAATACCCCTTCCTCTTGGTTCATGTGGGAACCAATGACACTGCAAGCAATAGCCTCCAGAGGATCAAAAGAGACTACGAGGCTCTGGGCAGGAAATTGAAGCAATTAAATGCACAAATTGTCATCTCATCTGTCCTCCCAGTTGAACGACGTGGCCCAGGGAGAGAGGGAAAAATAGTGGAAGTGAACAACTGGCTTCGCAAATGGTGTAAACAGGAACGGTTTGGATTCTTAGATCATGGGCTGCAGTTTCTTAAAGATGGACTTCTGGCAAGCGATGGGCTGCACCTCACAACGGTTGGGAGGAATGTTTTTGCCAAAAATCTCAGAAACCGCATCAGGAGGGCTTTAAACTGACTAATGTGGGGGAGGGAGACAGTGCTCCTGAGGGTAGGAGTCTATCAATTGATGAAGATGATCATCCAAATGTCATAGACCAAATGGAGCAAACAGCACACAGACCTAGTGGTGGGAGGAAAAAATCCTTAAATAAGAGACACGGGGGAATGATTAATGGACTTCAATGTCTGTACACTAATGCGCAAAGCATGGGAAATAAACAAGATGAGCTTGAGCTCTTGGTACAGCAAACTAAATATGACATAATAGGCATCACTGAAACCTGGTGGGATAAGTCCCACGATTGGAATGTAATAATGGAGGGATACAATCTATTTCAGAGAAACAGACCAGACAAGAAAGGAGGAGGAGTGGCGTTATATGTCAGGGATGTGTATACCTGTGAAGAGATCCAAGATTTAGAACCTCAAAGCCAAAGTGAGAGCATTTGGGTCAAAATTAAGGGAGAGAAGAATAACAGAGACCTCATTGTGGGAGTTTACTATAGATCCCCAAGCCTAACGGAGGACATAGATGATGCCTTCCTGGAACAGATGGCCAAGCATGCAAAAGGAAGGGAGATAGTAGTAATGGGGGACTTCAATTACCCGGATATTTGTTGGATGTCAAACTCAGCCAAGAGCATAAGGTCAAACAGATTCCTCACTGGACTTGCAGACAACTTCATTGTCCAGAAAGTGGGAGAAGCAACAAGAGGAACAGCCATTTTAGAGGAATTCAAAGAGGAATTCACCACCAAAGAGGAATTCAAACAAATAGCCAGCACATGTAGACACAAAGTCAGGAAAGCTAAAGCAGAAAAGGAACTCAGGCTTGCTAGAGAGGTTAAAAGCAACAAAAAAAGGCTTTTATGGGTATGTGCGTAGCAAAAGGAAGAACAAAGAAACAGTGGGGTCACTCAGAGGAGAAGATGGTGAAATGCAAACAGGGGACACAGAAAGGGCTGAACTCCTCAGTGCCTTCTTTGCCTCAGTCTTCTCCGATAAAGAAAACAATGCCCGACCTGAAGAATTTGGAGCAAATGATTCAGCAGAGGAAACACTGCCCAGAATAACTAAGGAGGTAGTACAAGAATACTTGGCTAGTCTAGATGTATTCAAGTCTCCAGGGCCAGATGAACTGCATCCAAGAGTATTAAAAGAACTGGCAGATGTGATCTCAGAACCACTGGCAGTCATCTTTGAGAATTCCTGGAGAACAGGCGAAGTCCCGGCAGACTGGAGGAGGGCAAATGTTGTCCCTATTTTCAAAAAGGGGAAAAGAGAGGACCCAAATAATTACCGCCCAGTCAGTCTGACATCAATACCAGGGAAGATTCTGGAGCAGATCATTAAGCAAACAGTCTGTGAGCACCTAGAAAGGAATGCTGTGATCACCAATAGTCAGCATGGATTTCTGAAAAATAAGTCATGTCAGACTAACCTGATCTCGTTTTTTGACAGAATTACAACCCTGGTAGATGAAGGGAACGCAGTGGATGTAGCCTACCTTGATTTCAGCAAGGCATTTGACAAGGTGCCCCATGATATTCTTGTAAAGAAGCTGGTAAAATGCGGACTTGACTATGCTACCACTCAGTGGATTTGTAACTGGCTGACTGACCGAACCCAAAGGGTGCTCATCAATGGTTCCTCTTCATCCTGGAGAAGAGTGACTAGTGGGGTGCCACAGGGTTCTGTCTTGGGCCCGGTCTTATTCAACATCTTTCTCAACGACTTGGATGATGGACTCAAGGGCATCCTGATCAAATTTGCAGATGACACCAAACTGGGAGGGGTGGCTAACACCCCAGAGGACAGGATCACACTTCAAAACGACCTTGACAGATTAGAGAACTGGGCCAAAACAAACAAGATGAATTTTAACAGGGAGAAATGTAAAGTATTGCACTTGGGCAAAAAAAATGAGAGGCACAAATACAAGATGGGTGACACCTGGCTTGAGAGCAGTACATGTGAAAAGGATCTAGGAGTCTTGGTGGACCACAAACTTGACATGAGCCAACAGTGTGACGCGGCAGCTAAAAAAGCCAATGCAATTCTGGGCTGCATCAATAGGAGTATAGCATCTAGATCAAGGGAAGTAATAGTGCCACTGTATTCTGCTCTGGTCAGACCTCACCTGGAGTACTGTGTCCAGTTCTGGGCACCACAGTTCAAGAAGGACACTGACAAACTGGAACGTGTCCAGAGGAGGGCAACCAAAATGGTCAAAGGCCTGGAAAGGATGCCTTATGAGGAACGGCTAAGGGAGCTGGGCATGTTTAGCCTGGAGAAGAGGAGGTTAAGGGGTGATATGATAGCCATGTTCAAATATATAAAAGGATGTCACATAGAGGAGGGAGAAAGGTTGTTTTCTGCTGCTCCAGAGAAGCGGACACGGAGCAATGGATCCAAACTACAAGAAAGAAGATTCCACCTAAACATTAGGAAGAACTTCCTGACAGTAAGAGCTGTTCGACAGTGGAATTTGCTGCCAAGGAGTGTGGTGGAGTCTCCTTCTTTGGAGGTCTTTAAGCAGAGGCTTGACAGCCATATGTCAGGAGTGCTCTGATGGTGTTTCCTGCTTGGCAGGGGGTTGGACTCGATGGCCCTTGTGGTCTCTTCCAACTCTAGGATTCTATGATTCTAAGTGTACATATGATTGTAATAAACTTATTTCAACAATGTTGAATGTGATAGCTTATGATTGTATTATTGCCCACTAAAGAAGCAGAGGCAGAAATTTGTTGAAAGCTGGTAGGTGGCGGCATTCATCATGTGCTGACGTCTTGTGCCTCCCCTCCAAAAAGACAGACTAAAAATACTTCCAGGAGGGTGTGCTGCTGTGATTATAAAATGGTTTCTGAATCCAGTGGCCCTCTTAGCATCATTTTTCTTGGACTGGTATCCCCCCCCAAAACCCCCCCCCCCCGCTGTGCCTATTCTGAAAAATGGGAAGACTGACTGATATCTCTTAATTCCTTTTAGGCCGCAATCCTATAAGCCAGTGGGTCTTATACTTTCTTCTCTGGGGCCTGGGCCACACTTTCAGAATAAAATTTTGCTCAGGCCACATCAATTTTTTTTTCTTGATAAGAAATACATTGGAAAACAAAAAGAAACAACTCATAGCTGTTCTTTATTTATGACACAGAGCACAATTACTTTATAATACGATCATGGGACATGCAGAAAGTATAATGCAATGAAGATACATAAGAGCATGCATCATTCCCAAAATATAATTATAAATGAGTCTCTTACATATAGAATCATAGAGCTGGAAGGGACCCTGAGGATCATCTAGTGACCCCCTGCAATGCAGGCATATGTAGCTGACCCATATGGGGATCAAACCTGCAACCTTGGCGTTCTCAGCGCCACACTCTAGTCTCGTGGCCCCGCAGTCTGGCTCTTCGCAACTACCAGCTAACTAGGTTTCCTTGCTTTATTGGGGAGGCCACGCTGTGACCCTGGTAAAAGGCAAAAGCAGCGCTTGCTCTCTTGCAGACCTGCAGAGTAAGACGGCGGGTCAGCTGGGCTTGAAGGCTGCATCCCTAAACACATCGAGGACTCCAAGAGGGGCCACGCACAAAGGGGTCCGGAGTGGGGTATCTTATCCAGAAAACCCGATGCTCTCTTGAACACCGCGGAACGTAGGCTGCAATCCTAACCCCACTTACCTTGGAGCAAGCCCCCTTGAATGCAACAGGACTTACTTCTGAGTAGACGTGGCTAGGCTTGCGCTGTTAATTAACTTTGGGGTAAACCTACACAATCCCGGGCTGCACAAATACACCCCCCACCTCGAGAGTACTTACTTGGAAGTAAGCCATGTGGGAAACCAGCGGGGCTTTACTTCCGTGAGAGAGCGCTTACTGAAGCCGCGTTGCGCACCTTTTGCGCCCATTACGGGGTCTGGAGGAAAATCCCGTTGGGCTGAGGCGCTGCCCATCCTTGCCAAGAAGCGCGCGCAACTTCCAGCTGCGATTCTGTGCGAAACCCCACCAAGCGAAACGAAACCCCTTTCGAAACCGTGCCCAGGATGGCGCGAGCGAGCGAGCCAGATGCGCCCCCGCGGGGGATGCGCGCCAGGAAAGGCGCCCGAGATCCGCGCCCGCGCCTTCCCCCGGGCGCCAAGCGAGCGCCTCCGCGGCTCACCTTCCCCGCCGCGCCGAGAGGGGAGGCGACCCGCGCAGCCTGGAAAGCAGCCCCGGCCCGCGACGCCATTGGCCAAGGCAGCCCCTGAGCGACAGCTGGGGGAGGGAGGGAGGGGGCAGAGGAAAGGGGAGGGGCGCAGGCCGGCACTGATTGGCTGCGGGGGGAAAGGGGCTCCGCAACTCCCGGCAAGAAAGTGCTCTTCGGTGGTCCCCTCGGGTCCCGCTGCTGACTGAGATCGGGAAGGGGATCCGCGCAGCAGAGAAGCGTCCCGACCCCCTGGAGCAAGCGGGGGGAGAGCTGCGCAGCCGCCGCAGCCGGGGCAGGAGCTGATGGGGGTCTCGCCCGGGGGAGGGAGTCGCGACCACCTTCGGGCTCCCCCCGTCCTTATTTGCCAACCTCCAGAGCTCGGGGCAAAGAGCAGGCGGCTGATGCCCAGCCGCTCGCAAGGCGCGGGCTTCCTTGCCAGAATGGGCGCAGGCTGGTGCTCCAGAGGCCCCTCGCGGAAGGGGCCCCGGGTGCTGATCCTGGTGGCCTTTGGGCTTCTTCTCCTGCCCGGCCTGGCCAAGGGCAACGAGTATGACTACGTCAGCTTCCAGTCCGACATCAGTGCCTACCAGAGCGGGCGCTTCTACACCAAGCCCCCTCAGTGCGTGGCCATCCCGGCTGACCTCCGCCTGTGCCACAGCGTGGGCTACGACAAGATGGTCTTGCCCAACCTCCTGGACCACGAGACCATGGCGGAGGTGAAGCAGCAAGCCAGCAGCTGGGTGCCTCTGCTCAACAAGAACTGCCACATGGGCACCCAGGTCTTCCTCTGCTCCCTCTTTGCCCCGGTCTGCCTGGACAGGCCCATTTACCCCTGCCGCTGGCTCTGCGAGGCCGTCCGCGACTCCTGTGAGCCCGTCATGCAGTTCTTTGGCTTCTACTGGCCCGAGATGCTCAAGTGTGACCAGTTCCCGCAGGATGACGTGTGCATTGCTATGACCGCCCCAAATGCCACGGAGGCGTCCAAACCTCAAGGTAAGGGTCTGCCATGAGTAGCACCCTTCTCTTTTGGTGATAAGCAGGCAGGCAAAGTTGGGAGAGGTGCCTATGACCACCTTAGGGTCAAGCCAGTCTGTGATGGCCCTGCGGTGAAGCCAGGTGAGATGGTTGCTTCAGGTGGCAGATTAGGGATGGCGGGGTGGGGACACAGGCACTTCAGGCCCGCCTGGGGCATGTTCTCTTGGGAAGGTCTTGTGGATGTTCAGGGAGAGGGTCCTTAGCTTCCACACAGAAGGTCCCAGCCCAATCCCCCTCCTTTTTCTGTTAAGGATCTCTGGTAGTTGGGCTGAGAAAGAACCCTTTATGGTGGAAAGCTTCTTCCAGTTGGAGCAGATCTGGGGCTGGCAATGGGCTGCCCTGAAGATGTTGCTGGACACCAGTTCCCATCATCCTTGATCCTGTAGAGCATCATGTTGCCCCCCCCCCCGGAACAGACGATCCTGGGATAGAGGAACCTGTAGAAGGCAGGCTCCTATGTGACGTTAAGGAGGACATAAGAGGGAAGGGCTCCAGCTCCACGGCAGAGGCACCTGCCTTGTAGGCATAGGATCCCAGGTTCAATCCCTGGCATCTAGGTTGGGGTGGGAAAGATCCTGGAGAGCAGCTGCCAATCATGGGAGAAAATTAAAATACATGGATCAGTGGTTTAACATGGTATAATGTGGCTTGCTAAGAGCTGTGGGGGATCAAATCCAAGATTCATCTAGACCAGACTTTGCCAACTTGATAGGCTGCTGACTGGGACTGATGTTGGGTTGGCAAAAGCTGAGGTATCTCAACATCCTGTTTCCCACAGTGGCCAGCCAGATGCTTCTGGGAAACCCACCAATAATTGTTGCTGGTGAGAACCCTCTCCTCCCTGTTGAGCTTGCCCAATCCCCCTTCATAAAGTAAAGCCAGCAGGCCTTAGCAGGTTGGGTGGGCAGGTCTATCAAGAGCTGGTACACAGAGGAGGGCATCCTGGTCCAAATCTCGTCTCTGCCATGAGGAATGTAGGGGTGTGACCCTTAAGACACACTGAAGGCAGATCCACACCATACATTTAAAGCATAGAACTTCTCCTAGAGAACCCTGGGAACTGTAGTTTAAGGCTGCTGGGGTCTGTAGCTCTGTGAGGGGGCAAACTACAGTTCTGAGGATTCTTTGTGGGAAGACATGTGCTTTAAATGTATGGTAAGTACTCAGACTTAAGCAAGCTGCTGTCTTTAATCCCTACATGTTAGGGATACTAATAATAAGAAGAATAATAAGAAGAAGCCACCATGCAGGGTTGTTGTGAAGTTTGCCAGGGTAGTGTGTTTGAAGCACCTGGAGCACTTTGGAGCTGCCAAGGAGGGCCTCGTTCTCTTGTGCAAGCCCCTTGGAAAAGGCCTTGATTGCTTCTGCTCAGGCCTCTTCCAATGCAGAGAGAGTGCAGAACTTGCAAAACCATTTGGTTTTTCCTCCTCAAGCTACCTTGGTCTGGCCCTGGAGCCAGTGTGGTTGAGCCGTTTGGGGCTTTGCTGTGCGTTCTGTTTTCCCAGTGAAAAGGAACTCACATTGAAATAAAAACAGCTGCATCAAAACCCAGCACAGTCATGTGATGGCACAGAATAGCGACGAAACATTAACTTGAGTAAGAAAATGCAAGAACAACATCTGCAAGAGGTGTGCCTCTCCAAAAAACCTATCACAAAGGAAGGTTTTAAGAGACTTCACAGGTCTGTTATGAAACCCACCTACAGGAAGCCTAGAGAAGCTCCCTTGGGAGGTTATTCCACTGAGATGGCCCACCTTACCTCAGGTTGTGGTTGGGGAACCTCAGGCCCAGCAGTTGAGCTTGACCCTTTTGTCCTCGCTGTCTGGCCCCTGGACTCTGCCCAGGCCACACCTCCCCTTCCCAGAGTAGCCTTCTCGCTGCTCCAATTCACACCTCTTTGAGTGTTTTTGGCTTCACTTCACAGGGGATAGAGAGGGAGGTGGGAGTGAGACTTCTGTGCAAAAGTGTCAGTCCTTGCTCAGCCCACTTTTGCCTCTGGCCTCAGCCAGCGCTGGCACAGGGTCCCTAGAAAATTGCTCAGAAGGGAATGTGTCCCTCCAGCTGAAAAAGATTCCTTGCACCTGGATCAGATTACAGGAACGGACACAAGGCCTTTCCAAGAGCAATGGAGGGAGCAGGCTGGCTCATGAGGAGATGGTCAGAGGAGATCAATGTTAGAGTGTGTGCTGAAAGCAGAAGGCCTACGGTTCAGGTTCCAGTAGGCCTGGGAAGTTTGCCTCAGAACCAGTTGCTGGCGATCACGGGTGGGGGGTGGGGGGGGGTGGGGGGTGGGATTTGCATAGGAAATGTTTCCTTCCAATTCATTCCCCACCACTACTCCCATCCCTGGTCAAACACTGATTTGACAGAGTTTCTTAAGCGCTTCAATAATACAATAGGACAAAAGAAATAAGTGTGGAGACCGCATGCAATGATGACATTCACCAGCATTTTAGTGCAAATTTCTTGTAATATACAAATTTTATATGCATTTTGGCTCAATGCACACATTTCTGCAAAGCAATTTCCTCAATTCAATGTTTTTTATGTTATTTTCACTAGTAAATGCACTCTGCTCTATGCGTGCGAATTTCAAAAGGTGTTTCATGTATTACTTCAGAAAGTACAAATTTGGTATATTTGCCTTTAAATGTGAGCTGAATTGAATTTATCCTCTGTCCCCACAGCTGGCCTTGCTGGCTGGGGCTGGTGAGAGTCCAACAACATCTGGAAGTCTTCATGACTCTCATCCCTGCTGCAGATCGTGGGCATGCATATGTCATAACAGGCATGATATTTGAGGGATATATATGTATGCCTCAAAGAAGCTGCCTGAGTACTCAGGGACATCTTTTGGGTTGATTCACAAAGCAATCCATGTGTGTGAGAGAGGGAATCTGTGCTAGCCAGCCATGTGCACCTTTCCCTTCCCACTGGACCTCTGGACAGTGAAACTGTTGTGACGGTTCTGATGTTCTCCTGGGATTGGCACAGCAGACGCTGCTCTGCCCCACCAACCTCTCTCTGCTCTCAGCCAACCTCCACCTGCCTGCCTTTGCACTTACATCCAATCCAGGGGTCACCCTGCCTGTCTTGGCTCCCGTCCCAAACTCAACAATGGAAGCTCTTCCGTGAGGCAAGAAAAGCTTCTCCAACATCCGGTTTCCTACCTGGCCAACCCAATGCCTCTGGGAAGCCTGCCATCGGGACAGGAGGGCAATGGCCATCTCCAGGTGATGCTTCTTTGCCACTGGTATTCTGAGGCACCCTTTCTGGAGGTAAGGTGGCCATTATCACAAGGGGCCTTTTGTAGCCTGGCTGTCATGAACAGCAAAATCCATGGCTTAGCAACTCTATGCTGTGTGAAGAATTGCTTCCTCTCTTGTCCATCCTAAATCTCCCCAACATTCGGCTACACTGGGTGACCAAACACACTGTATTCTAGTCTCGTGAAAAAGGCCTACCCATTTTCTCCACCGCAGTCATAATTTTATACATGCTCCCTGCTCGTCTTTTTCTCTGAACTAAAAAATCCCCAAATGTTGTAAGCTTTCCTTGCAGGGTAATGACAGGGAATTTGTGGCCCTCCAGATGTTGGACTCCAAATCCCACCACCCGCAGCCAGCATGGACAACAGTCAGGGATGATGGGAATCATAGTCCAACAACAGCTGGAGAGCTGAAAGTTTCTTGTCCCTGTTTTAGGAGTTGCGCCAACCCTCCTAAGCATTTTGGTGCTAGTGGAATCTTTATCTATTTATTAAATTTATATCTTGCTCTGCTTGCCAAAGGATCCCAGGGTAGCTGATATATTCTTCATTGCTGTTGATTTAGGGAAAGGAAAGCATCCCATGAGCTTTTTCAATCTTGCACAGTTTCCTGGGAGGGAGTCCCATTTCACTCAATGGATCTTACCTCTGAGTAAATGTGGAGAAGGCTGGGCTACGTTCTCAGATAACAACAACAACAGCAACAACAAAAATTTTTATTTGTATCTCCCCGGCCAAGGCCAGGCTCAGAGCAGCTAACATCATAAGAACAACACAATATCCATAAGAATAGACATCAATTCATTAAAATACATCTTAAAATTAATTCAGACAAGTTAAAATCTGGGCAGGTGGCAATTATCAGGGTGGAATTGAGAGTGGTTAATAATTGCCAGGACCAACTGTTTCCACTGATCATACAAGGACCTGTGAATGGGTTGGGGGTCTCCTTTGGGCTTGTTTTATACATAGGAAAGTAAGTCAAACTGCATCCTGCCCAAAGGCCTGGCGGAACAGCTCCGTCTTGTAGACCCTGCGGAAAGATGTCAAATCCCACAGGGCCCTGGTCTGTTGTGGGAGAGCATTCCACCAGGCCGGGGCCACGGCCGAAAAGTCCCTGGCTCAAGTCAAGGCCAGTCTAATTTCCCTGGGGCCCGGGATCTTCAAGGTGTTGTTATTAGCAGACCGTAAGGTCCTCTATGGGGCATACCAGAAGAGGCGGTCCCATAAGTACGAGAGTCCTAGGCCACATAGGGCTTTAAAGGTTAAAACCAGCACCTTAAACCTGACCCTGTACTGCACCAGGAGCCAGCGCAGCTGGTAAAGCACTGGATGAATGTGGTCCCATGGCAAGGAGCCCGTAAGGAGCCTCGCTGCGGCATTCTGCATCCGCTGGAGTTTCTGGGTCAGTTTCAAGGGCAGCCCCGCGTACAGTGGCAAGGTCAGGGCGAGAGAGGTCAGGGAGCAACTGCTTAGCTTGGCGGAGATGAAAAAATGCCACCTTTGTTATAGCTGTAACCTGCGCCTCCATAGAAAGCGAGGCGTCGAAGATTACACCCAAACTCTAGACAGAAGGCACTTGTGCCCCTGCAAGGGATGGGAGTTTGCCCCCCAACCCTATATCGTCCCGACCCAGCCAAAGGACCCCTGTCTTTGAAGGATTTAACTTTAACCGGCTCCCACATAGCT